ATCTGTAAGTTATAAAGATTTGACATCATTTTGCAGGTATACGGACGTATAGAACAATCTCACATATTTTTTCAAGTCTTACGGATATTTTAAAAACCTCCTTTTCAAATTTATCTAACATGTCATGTAACTATCTGTGATACTGTGGTCACTCTCCATGTAGCATCAATTATGCTAATGCTAGCTGCCTGTCACTTTCTCTCGTCCTACCCACACCCCCTCCCCTACCCACTTTGATGCATTTTTTCAAATTTCGCTTTGGGGCGGAGTTATCTTTTCACATGGGGGGTAAGATACACTTTAAGGACAGGTGAGAGACAGGACAGGGGCACTTCAGGGGGCCATTCAAACTTCAGCTGGGGCAGTTTTTTAACCGTTTAATTTTTAGGACATTATTTAAAGATGAAAAGTCTAAAAAGTCAAGACCTCCACCTAATACAGATTTTTTAACATAGTGTTTTCTGTTTCTCCACAGAAAATTAAAAAGTATCTGGTCAACCGTTTGGGCCTTTTTAAAACAATACAAAGAGAGGATGCAGTGTACATGAGCCTGGAGGTCCCAGGCTGCAGCCTCTTATCAGATCAGAAMCAAACATTAAACTTATTTTCTGCCTTTTTTAATCCCAGGATTTAATCATTGCTGAGCAGCAGTGTAAACTATGAGTAACTAGTAGTTTGTAGGAACTAGTTACATTTACTCAGTTACTTTTACTTGAGTAACTCTTAGGGGAAAAACTTTTTTAGGATTACATTTAGTACGCTGTACTCTTTCCTTTTACTTGAGTAATTTTATTATGAAGTATCGCCACTCTTGAGTCATTTCTTGCATGGCTACTTTTTTCTTTCCTTTTTTTAGATATGGACCAGGGTTCTGTGGTTTTAATACAGCTTGAATTGAAATTGAAATGGCTCATTTTACCTTTCTTACCCATGCTCTTTGTATTTATATCATATTTTATACTGTTTGTATGTTTCTCCAGAGTGTCTATGCTTTGACTTTATTCTAATGAGATTATCTTTTGTTCATTAGTTTTACTTGAACGGTTACAGCTGTAATTACTGTAATTTCTTCTGATTTATTCCAACGATAAACCTAACTAATTATGAAGAGGAGTGAGACCTCCTAATAATAGACGATTGTTGACAGACTCTGTTTTTACCGGTAATGACGGAGTGAGACCTCCTGTTCAATAGACGATGTCAGACTGGAAGTGATCTGTCAGACGTCACAGCCGTTGGTCCGGTTCAGATCAGTTCAGCTCTAATGAGCCGTCGGTTGTCCTGGGAGTTGGACCGAACCGAACCCGTTGGAAACCCGGAACCCACCCAGCCCGCTCGTAAACCGGTCCGGACCGGTTTAACTTTCTGTTTGGGTTAAGACCCGAAACGAGCCGAACCGGCGGGGCGGAGGTTTTTCGGGACGGTCTGCCGTTGACGTCCGTGACGTCGTCGGTCCGCCGCCGCCGCGGTTCGAGCCGCTCCTTCACCGAACCRTCTGTCGGACCCGTCCGGAGCCGCGGGGTACCCTCCGACCCGTGATGGAGCGGAAGCGGTCGGACTGTCCCGCTCTGCCGCCCGGCTGGAGGAGAGAGGAGGTGATCCGGAAGTCCGGGCTGAGCGCCGGGAAGAGCGACGTCTACTACTACAGGTAGTCCTGATGGACCGGGTCGGAACCAGATGTGCTGGTCTGAGCCGGTCTGAGGGCTGTTTACTCTGGGCACAAACCCGGTTCTGTTCTGTTAGAGTCGCGTCAGGTTCTGGTTCTGATCAGAACTCTGGTCACTAAAGTCCAGCTCTGACCCGAACCGGGTTAGAGTTCATCAAGTTCTGACCCAGTTTGAAGCTGTTCTCACCCGCCGGGCCACAGTGTGTTTATTTATGTCTGTTAGCAAAATATCTCCTGAAACAGTGGGCAGGTSATCATGTACGACTCATTCAAGATGGCCGCCACAGCTAGCCCACACAAAGAGCTAAAGTTCAGCTGATTTTACAGATGTGGAGCTAAACTTCAGCCTGGTTTTAGCTGAGTCATCTCCTAAAGTCAGGCCTGAAAGCTGGGGGGCGATGAGCATCACGAACCCCTCTGGGGGTCCCACAAACAGATGCTAACGGCTAAATTAGCAAAACATGCTAAAGCTAAGATGACAAGGATGTTAAAAGTAGCAAAAAGTAGCAAAGCAATAGCTAAATTAGCAYCTGTTTGGTTATAGCTAAAAGTAGAAGCTAAAATTAGCTAACAATACCTAAAATAATCCAAATTGTTGCTAAAAGTAGCAAAAATCATAGCTAAATGCTAAAGTTAGCAAAACAAGCTAAAAGAAGCAGGGCAAGCTAGATGTGAAAAGCAGCTGAACAGTAGCTAAAATTAGGTTTAGGTTCTGGCTCAGTATCACTGGAAGGTGGGCGAACATGGAGTTTATTTCAGTGTCTGTTAGCGAAATATCTCTCGAGGCAGTGGACACGTTCTGCAACGACTCAAGATGGCCGCCACAGCCCATCAACATCAGCCACCAACATAGAGCTAAAACTGGATGTGGTAGTAGCTGAGGGTGGTCGTCCACTCGCGCCCTGAGGGGCGGGGCCTGGAGCTGCAGGGCGGCGGGYGACAAGCATCCCCTCACAGAGCTGGAGCTTTTGATTGACAGCTCCAGATGTTGGACGTCCAGCCTCCRCTCACGGGTTTGACTCAACCTTTCTTCTTCTGCGCGTCAGGTCACGCAGGAAGTCTCTGCCGCAGGCCTGTGGTGAGCCTGAGCTCACTTCCTGTCGGTGGCGGCCGTCATGTGGGCGGAGCTCTGGCTCTGAGCCATGGTGAGGCTTTACTTTCAGTTTGGGTCTGGATGTGACTCATCAGTTCCAGTAATGAGAGCGGGAGCAGCTTACTGGAAACACAGCAGCAGCAGCAGCCGAGGCCTGGGCTCCTCAAAACCTTCAAACTTTATTAACAAACCTTCAAACTTTATTAACAAATGTTTAAACTTTATTGACAAACGTTTAGACTTTATTAAACCTTCAAACTTTATTAACAAACCTTCAAACTTTATTAAAAAACCTTCAAACTTTATTAACAAACCTTCAAACTTTATTAACAAACTTTCAAACTTTATTAACAAACAATTAAACTTTATTGACAAACCTTCAAACTTTATTAGCAAACGTTTAGACGTTATTAAACCTTCAAACTTTATTAACAAATGTTTAGAAACCTTCAAACTTTATCAACAAACGTTTAAGCTTTATTAACAAACTTTCAAACTTTATTAACAAACTTTCGAACTTTATTAACAAACCTTCAAACTTTATTAACAAACCTTCAAACTTTATTAACGAACATTTAAACTTTATTAACAATCAGCTGTGGCTCATTAACGCTGCATTGTTACTGAGTCAATTAAACTACATCATTTACCTACAGGAGGAAAGATAACAGGAAGAAGTTTTATTTGTCTGAACGCTGAGTCAGCAATTTGTGATCAGTTCAAATCTTCWGCAGGCGCTGAGTCGGCATTCAATTTCCTGCAAACTTTCTGCTTTTTGATCCGTTAAAACATGAAAACCTTCGGCTCATTCAGCTGCTGAAACTTTTTCTTTTGCATATAGCTTTGTGTGTTTGTTTGTTTCTGGTTTTGTTTGTTTGTTTACGTTTTTGTTTGTTTTTCAGTCCGACGGGGAAGAAGTTCCGGAGCAAACCTCAGCTGTCCCGTCACCTTGGGAACGCGGTGGACCTGGCATGTTTCGACTTCCGTACCGGGAAGATGATGCCTGGGAAACTGCAGAAGAACAAGCAGAAGTTCCGACACGACGCGCTCGGCCTGGCTAAGGTCAGTGCTGAGGGGGTACCTGAGGGGGCACACCTGAGGGGGCGGGGCTAAATGCTTGACGAGTTTTATTGGTCAGGGCTGTAGAAATGACCGGGAAATGAGTGGAAGTCAATGCATAGTCCCCATGAGTATAGAAGAACAAACGTGTGTGTGTGTGTGTGTGTGTGTGTGTGTGTGCATCGTTCAGACATTACTCATAAACAAACTCACTTCCTGTTATTGTGGCGACGAGTTAACCCTTCAGCTGGAAGAGAGGTTCAGAGCAGGAGGGAAGGAAGCAAGGATAGAAGGAAGGATGGATAGAAGGAAGGAAGGATAGAAGGAAGGATAGAAACAAGCAAGGATAGAAGGAAGGCTGGAAGGAAGGAAGGAAGGAAGGATTGATGGATGGATGGATAGTAGGAAGGAAGGAAGGCAGTGAAAGGACAATCCTCTTCTTCTTCTTCTTCTTCTTCAGTTGTCTTCATGTCCACAGTCCTGAGACGACCTGTTCTGACTTGGTGGTTTATAAATGAACTGAACTGAAGTAAAGGTAAAGGTTTCTTCTGTTTCAGGGAGGTAAACCTGACCTGAACACGGCTCTGCCCATCAGACAGACGGCCTCCATCTTTAAACAGCCCGTTACCAAGGTGACCAGTCACCCTGGAAACAAGGTGAAGACGGACCCCCAGAGAGCCGTGGAGCAGCCCCGACAGGTGAGGGTTGTCATGGTGACTGAAGCCACCTGAGTCTGTGAGAGGCAGGTCTGAAGGCGAAGCTAAATGTAGCACACCTCTAGCTATAAGCTGAGAAGGTCCAAAGACAAGCTAGAAGCTAAATGTTGCAAAATATTAGCTTTAGGCAGAAATAATAAGCTAAATGTTAGTGTGAAAAATTAAAATTAGGTCTAGGTAGGAGCTAAAAATAATAAAATGTCAGCTAAAAGATAAAAGTAGAAAGGAGGTAAAAGCATCAAAACTTAAGATATAAGCTGAAAACGACCCAAAGGCAAGTTAGAAGCTAAAAGTAGCTAAGTGTTAGCTAACAGCCAAAGTAGCAAAAGTCTATGTAGGAGCTAAAACTCTGAGAATGTGAGCTAAAAGCTAAAAGTAGAAAGGAGCTAAAAGCATCAAAAATTAAGATATAAGCTGAAAAAGACCCAAAGGCAAGTTAGAAGCTAAAAGTAGCTAAGTGTTAGCTAACAGCCAAAGTAGCAAAAGTCTATGTAGGAGCTAAAACTCTGAGAATGTGAGCTAAAAGCTAAAAGTGAAGCTAAAGCAGATGTAAAAGCATTTCTCTGTTTTTCTCCTCAGTTGTTCTGGGAGAGACGTTTAAAAGGTCTGAGGTCTTCAGACGTCACAGAACAGGTTCTGCGGACCATGGACCTGCCCAAAGGCCTGCAGGGTGGGTGTCCAGAACACACACCTGAGCTCCCGCTGTGCCTGGTGTCCCTGACCTCTGACATCTTTCCCCTGACCTCTGACATCTTTCCCCTGACCTCTGACTCTCTGACCCCTGCCCTCTGACTCTCTGACCCCTGCCCTCTGACCCTCTGACCCCTGCCCTCTGACCTCTGCAGGTATCGGCCCGGACTCCAGCGACGACACGCTGCTGTCGGCCATTGCCAGCGCTCTGCACATGAGTTCTGCTCCCATCACGGGTCAGACGTCCGGCGCCGCTGAGAAGAACCCGGCCGTGTGGCTCAACACGTCGCAGCCGCTCTGCAAGGCCTTCACCGTCACCGACGAGCAGATCCGGTGAGACCCGGCTTCCTGTAAGCTTCCACCAGAACCCCTCCAGTGGTCCGTGAAATATTTTACTAACAGACCAACAAACAGCTGAGATCAGAGGAGATTAGGGCTGTAAGTTATGATTAATGGATTCATCTAAAGTTGATTGATCTTATCCATCGACTAACAATTGATAAGAGACCATTTTCCTAAACACCTGACATTTCTATATGACATTAAGGGCTCATTTTTTACACTTAATTAAAAATACTAAAGTATATTTTATAAAATTTATAGTGCAGCTTTATTAAACACTAACTGAATAAACAGTAAAC